GAAATAAGGTTGAGAAACGCTGATCTAGAGGCTAGTTGTCACAACTGGAGCTGACAATTTGAAGACTTTGGGACTGGGGATTAGGGAAAGTAATACTGTTAAAACATCACATTCTTTGTCAGCTAAGGAGGTGCAAACATTTTACAACATGTACCCAGAGTTAAACTTTCATAGCATCATGTCCAGGGCGTGGGTTCAATGACAATGAGCGTCGTTTCACAGAAAAGAGAATCAGAACTGATCTCAGAACATTGTCTGTGGGGAAGAGTAGCAGAAAGGAGTTTGTGTGTGTGTGTGTGTGTGTGTGTGTGTGTGTGTGTGTGTGTGTGTGTGTGTGTGTGTGTGTGTATATGTACTTCTACGCCGATGACACGCAAATCTACCTCTCTACCCCTCGCCTCACCCCTTCAGTCTCCGCCAGAATCACCCGCCTACTGAACGACATATCAGACTGGATGTCACTCCACTTCCTTAAATTAAACCTTTCCAAAACCGAGCTCCTAATTTTCCCCCTAGCCCCCGCCCACCCCCCTTCTCCATCACGACCAACAACGCCACCATCATTCCCACCCTGCAAGCCAAACTCCTAGGTGTCACTCTAGACTCAAATCTGTCCTTCCAACCCCATGTCCAATTGCTGGCAAACTCATGCAGGCTCCACCTCTGCAACATCTCCAAAATACGTACGTTCCTAACCCCAGACACTACTAACAACTCATTCACTCCCTTATCTCACGACTCGACTACTGCAACTCCCTCCTCACCGGCCTACCTCATCAGACTATCCCCGCTTCAGTCTATCCTGAACTCAGCGGCCAGACTCATCCACCTTACCAACCGCTCCGCATCTGCCACCCCCCTCTGTCATTCCCTCCATTGGCTTCCGATTGCCCAACGCATTAAATTCAAACTTCTAACATTGACGTACAAAGCCATTCATAACACTGCCCCAAACTACCTTACCGACCTGATACCCAAATACCACCCAACCCGTACTCTTCGCTCCTCACAAGACCTCCTATTTTCTAGCTCCATGGTTTCCTCCTCCCACACCCAACTGCAGGACTTCTCCAGGACTTCCCCCATCCTCTGGAACTCACTACCCCCCGATCAATCAGACTGTCACCTACCCTCCTCACCTTTAGGCGCACCCTGAAAACCCATCCCTTCAGGGAAGCCTACCCCACCCTCACCTAACAGCCGATTTCCTCCACTCCTCCTACCACTCCATCCCCCACAGCCACTTCCTCCTGTACCACTATCCCCTCCCTCCTAGATTGTAAGCAGGGCCCTCTAACCTCTCGTATATTGTCTTGTTACTGTATTGTCTCATGTACTGTTCCCCACTATATTGTACAGCACTGAGCAAACTTTTTGGCGCTATACAAACTCTGTATAATAATAATGTGTGTATGTGATTTTTTATATATATATATATATATATATATATATATATATATATATAAAAACACACACTTTCTGCCTGCAATGTACTTACTGTAAACGGGCAGCAGCTACCCGTACGTTGCTGGTGTTGTAGCAAGACGGGAAGCGTGGCGTGCAACCCTCCTCCCATGTCTGCTGTGTCCCCCAAACTATTTCCAGGTGTGCGTGCGCTCCCTGCTGCCCCCTATGCCAGTCCAGGGAGAGAAGAGAGAACATGGCACTGAGTAAAAACACTACATTTTACACACAGACGTTAGATTAGCACATTTCACCCTTTTGATCACTAGTCACTGTCAGGGACGGTGGGAATGGGAAGATCGCCGCTGCGATCGATTTCTGCACATGCGTAGAATCCTGACAAAACGTACAGGCAGGCAGGCACTAGGACCCAGGCGTGCCTGTCACAAATGTACGGGCTAGGCAAGCACTAGGACCCAGGAGTGCCTGTCAGGAGTCGGGTGGACTATTTAAACCCGGCTCTTGCAATGCTCAAGTGCCGTATGGTCTTATCTGTGTTCCTGAGTTCCTGTGAGTAGATTGTTTGTTGCCGAACCTGCCTGACCCTGATTTGCTGTCCGTCTCCTGCTCTGATCCCTGCTTTGTCTGACCATTCTCCTGCTTATGTACGTTCTGACCTCCTGCTAACGAACCCGGCTTGTGACCTGTTTATCCCTCTGCCTGCATTTTGTACTACGCCGCCACCACTGTTACCGACCCGGCTTGCCTGACGCTGCTCCTGTTACCTCCTCACATCAGACTCTCAGCTATACACCTCCAAGACTTTTACCACAGCTTGAACCCAGGGGCCGCGACTGGTCTCGGCCTGCTCCAAGTCCATCCCCCACCATAGGGGCCATGGTGAACAAGCAGGTTAGCACTTGGGGGAATCCGGTAGTGCTAGATTACCGCAGTGGGGTCCCTGACAGTCACCCAGTCAGGTCCATTAGTACAATGTCAGTATATAGACTTTTTCACTGATCGCTGTATTACTGCCACTAGCGGTATCAGATAGTGTAAAGGTCTGTAAGCTCCTCCCCCAGCCAGGGTCAGCTAGTTTTTCGTACTCGCCCACACTGATTAAAATTTTATTACATTTTGCACAGTCGTTTTTTTGTCATTTTTTTGCATGCATTTCTTGGTTTATTATAGGTAGCTAATTACTAGTATAGTGTGTTTATACGGATCAATATCACGAACAGAACGTTAATAGATACTAATTTACCAGTAATATATCAATATCACGAACCTATACCAGTGCCTCCCTTTTTTGTATAGTGTCCCTAAAAATAAAAAAATAAAAAACTCACCCAAATCCCTGTGTTCACACACACACAAAGGCAAACACAAGCAGAGGTTCCATGTCGGTATGTAAACAAAGATTGCACCATGCACATGAGGTATCACTGCAAGCGTCAGATCTAGGGCAGTAATTCTAGTACTAGACCTCCAGTGTAAATCTAAAGTGGTGATCTGTAAAGGCTTTTAAAACCTCACCTATTGATATAAAAAATTTATGTAGTTTGTCGCCGTTGCAAGGACGTGCGCAGTTTTACAGTACAGTATGTCATGTTTTGTATCCATTTTTGCTTCATCTTTTAAATTTTCTCAAACAATCGGGCAATATATTATTTTTGTGCATTCAATTTCTAAAAAGTATATATTTTCCAAAAATATTGAATTTGGAAAATCACTGTGCAAATACTGGTGTGACATTTAAAAATTTCAACACCCACCGTTTTATTCTCTAGGGCCTCTGCTTTAAAACATATATAATGTTTGGGGATTCAAAGTAATTTTCTAGCAAAAAAAAAAAACTTTTTTTTTTTTTCATGTATACAAAAATTGCCAGAAAAGGCTTGTTCAAGTGGTTAAAAAAAGTGGGTGATGTGCGGCATAAGCTTCTAATGTAGGCCCTGAAATGCCAGGATAGTAGAAGCACCCCCCCCCCCCATCCCAAATCACCCTTTTTTGGAAAGTAGACACTCCAAGGTATTTGCTAAGGGGCATGGTGAGTGGTGAGTATTTTGAAGATCTAATTTTTTGGAAAATGAAGAAAGAGAAAATTAAATTGTATTTATTTTTTTTTCAAAACCCTGTGATAAAAATATCTGCAACATGCTCATCATGCCTCTTATCAAATTCCTTGGGTTGTCTACTTTCCAACAAGGGGACATTTGGGGGGTGTTTGTACTATTCTGGCATTTTAGGGCCTCTGAAACTGTGATATGTAGTGAGGAAGTGACATGAGGAAATATGCTCTTTGAAAGCGTGGAGGTAGCCATTGGATTTTCGGGGCCTGTATGTAGCTAGGCTGTAAAATAGTCTCTCACATGTGTATCCCCATACTTGGAAAAAGTAGCAGAATGTGTTTTGGGGGTGTTATTCCACATATATCCATGGCATGTGTGAGCAATATATCATTTGACAACTTTGCGTATAAATTTTTTTTTTTAAAAAAAGTTGCCATTTTCCAAAAATTTGTGGCAAAAAATAAAATCTTCCATGGACTCAGCAAATTCCTTTACAAAAAGTGGTCATTTAGGGGGGTGGGGGTTGTACTGCCCTGGCATTTTAGCACCTCAAGAAATGTGAGTAGTCAAAGTAAAAGCTGTGCAAATTGCAATATATATATATACACCATAGTTTGTAGATGCTATAGCTTTCACACAAACCAATGAATATACACGTATTGGGATTTTTTTTTTTTTTTTTTACCAAAGGCATGTAGCAGAATAATTTTTGGATATTTTTTATAACCGAAAGTAGAAAATATCATGTTGATAAAAAAAAACACTCTTAATTACCAGTTGAAATAGTGCAGTGCCAAATAGCAAAAAATGGCCAGGTCATGGGGGGGGGGGGGGGGGGGGGGGGGGGGGGGGGGGTAAATCTTCCAGAGGGCAAGCGGGGTTAAAAAAAAAAAAAAAAAAAGTATTGGGATGCTTGCCTTGAACTTTAAAGACATCCCAGTCTTCCCAATCTTAGTCTGTAAGGTTCAACATTGAGTTTGCCCACCCTTTGCAGCTATAACAGCTTCAACGCTTCTGGGAAGGCTGTCCACAAGGTTTAGGAGTGTCTATGGGAATGTTTGACCGTTCTTCCAGAAGTGCATTTGTGAGGTCAGGCACTGGTGTCAGCCAAGAATGCCTGGCTCGCAGTCTCCACTCTAATAGGTGATCTATCGCTTTGAGGTCAGGACTCTCTGCAAGCCAATAAAGTTCCTCCACCCCAAACTTTCTCATCTGTCTTTATGGACCTTGCTTTGTGCACTGGTGCGCTGTCATGTTGGTACAGGAAGGTTACATCCCCAAACCCCTCCCACAAAGTTGGGAGCATGAAATTGTCCAGAGTGTCTTGGTATTCTGATGCCTTAAGAGTTCCCTTCACTGGAACTAAGTTGCCAAGCCCATCTCCTGAACCCACACCATAACCCCCCCCCCCCCCTTTACCAAACTTTACACTTGGCATAATGCAGTCAGGCAAGTACTGTTCTCCTGCAACCACCAAACCCAGACACGTCCATCGGATCGCCGGACAGAGAAGCATTATTAGTCGCTCCAGAGAATGTCTCCACTGCTCTATAGTCCAGTGGCGACGTGCTTTACACCACTGCATCCGACACTTTGCATTTCACTTGGTGATGTAAGGCTTGGATGCAGCTGCTCTAAGCTCTCTATGCACTGTTGTGCTAATCTTAAGGTCACACTAAGTTTGGAGGTCTTTAGCTATTGACTCTGCAGACAGTTGGCAACTTCTGTGCACTATTCGCTTCAGCATGCGCTGACCCCACTCTGTCATTTATGTGGCCTACCACTTCGTGGCTGAGTTGCTGTTATTCTCAGTTGCTTCCACTTTGTTATAATACCACTAACTGTGGCAAGGAAGTTTTGTTTTTAGTAGCAAGGAAATTTCATGGATGGACTTATTGCATAGGCGGCAACCTATCACAGTACCACACTTGACTTCACTAAGCTCCTGAGAGAGTGACTCATTCTTTCACAAATGGTTGTAGAAGCAATCTGCATGCCTAGGTGCTTGATTTTATACACCTGTGGCCATGGAGGTGATTGGAACACCTGTATCCAATTATTTTGGAGGGGTGTCCCAATACTTACGGCAATATAGTGTATGTATATGTGTGTGTGTGTGTGTATATGTATGTGTATATATATATATATATGTGTGTGTGTGTGTGTGTGTGTGTATGTATGTGTGTATATATATTATATATATATATATATATATATATGTATATGTGTGTATGTAGTCTCCTTAATTTATACCAACAAACACCTTAACTGCTTTGTTTCTTAATTCTAAGCTGAGAGTGGTACAAGAGCAACTTAAGACTTTAACCAAAGGAGCTGTTCCCAAAAAGAGGTTAAAGAAACAAAAAGAGAAAAAAAATAAAGGCAAGAAAAAACGAAAGCTTGACAGTCAAAAAGCAAAAAAGAAAAGGAAACGCAAGGAAATAAAGAAGAAATCTGTAAAGTAAGGCTTGGTGTTTACTTCAGCCCAGTATGTAACTTAATAAAACGTGCTTTTAAATGTATTTGAAATGTACACATGATGGCAAGAAGAATAGTTTTAGTTGATTACTGAATGGTTCAAACATTATTAAGGTTACGCTTAATTTCATATGCCCCATATTCATCAATATATTCATCCCCATGTGAGAATATTTAATTTGTTTGAAAATCTTTGCATAAAGCGTATATGTTGGATGATCTGTTTTTTTTTTTGGATGAAGTCTTACTTTACCATAATTGATAGCATTATTTTGTTTGCTGTTATCCATTGAGGATATATTGTGTGTAGCACACAGCCTTAACTGGTCTGGCTGTTTGGGAATCCGGTTCCATTCCCCGATGGGCACATGGTATTTCCCAATCTCTCAAGTTAGAGAACTGTGTGTGTGTGTGTGTTGTTTGTTTGTTGTTTTTTTTTTTTGTGGTTTTTATTTTTGTTCTAGAACTTGGATAGGGTAAGCCTAGGGATACTCCAATAAACATCAAGCTGGTAGAGGACACTAATGCTGAACTAATACTTCAGGATGAAGGCACTCCCTTTTTGAAGTGTAGACATACTGGTACTAAACTGGATTTCCTCAACAGGAATACAGTCCTGAGTGTGCTGGTATTAAAGGAAAATCTCCCAAAGGAAGCCAAAGAGAGTCTCTAAGGCAGCACAGCAGCTAAATGGTTAGCTCTTCTGTCTGGCAGCACTTGGGTCATTGCTTCAAATACCAACCATGGTACTACCTGCCTGGAGTTTGCATGTTCTCCCTGTACCTGCCTGGGTTTCCTCTGAGTCCTCCAGTTTTCTCCCACACTCCAAAGATATGCTGGCAGGTTAACTGACTCCCATCTAAATTGGCCCTAGTATGTGTCTGTATGAATGTGAGTTGGGGACCTTAGATTGTAAGTTGCTTGAGGGTAGGGACTTGTGTGAATGTACAATATATATGTAAAGAGCTGTGTGAATTCATGGCGCTATAAAAGTACCTGTAATAAGCCCAGAAAGCTGGTACTCACTGTGTCCTGATTGCTGTGTAGCTGCCTGCAGTATCTCAGTTTCTGTACTTGGATTGCCTGTGTCCTGGATCCTTAGAAGAACTCTCTGCAATCTTCTGGAGACTAGGCCAGAGGTCTCCCAAGCCATAAGATAAGCTCGGACCCCAAAAAGGATTCTTTTGGCTGCAGGCAAACTCCCAGGGATGCCTTAGGCTGGGTCTTTCTTCCCCAGGAACAAGAGGACTCTGTTCTGGATCCCAACTTATTTATACCCCTTCAGCCCCCTGGTGGTCATTCACTTATCTGACCAGGGATTGGCTGGAAAAGCATCAATATGCAGACTGGGATCTGTGTCCTTTTTCCCACTATGTCCCAGCTCCCTGTAACCGAGCCCACACCAGCAAAGCCCAGAGCAGACCTAACAAAACAAATGTTGCTGTCTCTGCCTGACTACAGGGAGGCCAAAAAACAAAATTTTAACTATTAGTAGGTAGCCTAATGGGGCATATATGTATATGCATATCTTGGTGTGGATATCTGCTTTGGGCACATAAATATGGGGTATTGGCTCAGTGGATGTACAGTGATAATTATAGAGTCTCTCTATCTAATCTATTTATATAAAAAAGCATTAATACGGTTTGCAGGATGTTAAGTAAACACAAGATGGTGTCCTGTGGTTCAGCTATGGAGACCTGTTGAACCTGTATGCAGTTAGCAGGATCTTTGTGTTCAGATGAGTAAACTGACTACATTTCACAGAAGAGCTGGTAGAGGGGCGGAGTGTGTGTGTGTACAGTATCTTCCAGAAGTGAGCACACCCCTCACATTTTTTGAAAATATTTTATTCTATCTTTTCATGTGGCAACACTGAAGAAATTACACTTTGCTACAATGTAAAGTAGTGAGTGTACAGCTTGTATAACAGTGTAAATTTGCTGTCCCCTCAAAATAACTCAACATACAGCCATTAATGTCTATACCACTGGCAACAAAAGTGAATACACCCCTATGTGAAAATGTCTAAATTGCACCCAAAGTGTCAATATTTTGTGTGGTCACCATTATTTTCCAGCACTGTCTTAACCCTCTTGGGCATGGAGTTCACCAGAGCTTCACAGGTTGCCACTGGAGTCATCTTCCACTCCTCCATGATGACATCACAGAGCTGGTGGATGTTAGAGACCTGGCGCTGCTTCACCTTCCATTTGAGTTTGCCCCACAGATGCCTAATAGGGTTTAGGTCTGGAGACATACTTGGCCAGTCCATCACAATTACCCTCAGCTTCATTAGAAAGCAGTGGTCGTCTTGGAGTTGTTTGGGATCGTTATGTTGAAATACTGCCCTGCGGCCCAGTCTTCGAAGAGAGGGGATCATGCTCTGCTTCAGTATGTCACAGTACATGTTGGCATTCATGGTTCCCTCAGTGAATTGTAGCTCCCCAGTGCCGGCAACACTCATGCAACCCCAGACCATGACACTCCCACCACCATGCTTAACTGTAGGCAAGACACACTTGTCTTTGTACTCCTCACCTGGTTGCCACCACACACGCTTGACACCATCTGAACCAAATCAGTTTATCTTGGTCTCATCAGATCACAGGACATGGTTCCAGTAATCCATGTCCTTAGTCTGCTTGCCTTCAGAAAACGGTTTGTGGGCTTTCTTGTGCATTATCTTTAGGGGAGGCTTCCTTCTATGGAGACAGCCACGCAGACCAATTTGCTGCAATGTGGTCTGAGCACTGACAGGCTGACCCCCCCCCCCCCCCCACTCATTCAACCTCTGCAGCAATGCTGGCAGCACTCATACGTCTATTTCCCAAAGACAACCTCTGGATAAGACGCTGAGCACATGCACTCAACTTCTTTGGTCGACCATGGTGAGGCCTGTTCTGAGTGGAACCTGTCCTGTTAAACCTCTGTATGGTTTTGGCCTCTATGCTGCAGCTCAGTTTCAGGGGCTTGGCAATCTTCTTATAGCCTAGGTCATCTTTTATGTAGAGCAACAATTCTTTTTTTCAGATCCAGAGTGATTTCTTTGCCGTGAAGTGCCATGTTGAACTTCCAGTGACCAGTATGTGAGAGTGAGAGCGATGACATCAAATTTAACACACCTGATCCCCATTCACACCTGAGACCTTGTAACACGAACGAATCACATGACACCAGGGAGGGAAAATGGCTAATTGGGCCCAATTTGGACATTTTCACTTAGGGGTGTACTCACTTTTGTTGCTAGCGGTTTAGACAGTAATGACTGTGTGAGTTATTTTTGAGGGGACAGAAAATTTACACTGTTATACAAGCTGTACACTCACTACTTTACACTGTAGCAAAGTGCCATTTCTTCAGTGTTGTCACATGAAAAGAGAATAAAATATTTACAAAACTGTAAGGGGTGTACTCACCTCTGTAAGATACTGTATGTGTGTCTGTGTATGTATAATTTATGTGTGTGTGTGGGATTACTGTGCTTGATTGGCCAGCAAACTCGCCTGGCCTGAACCCCATAGAGAATCTATGGGGCATTGCCAAGAGAAAGATGAGAGACATGAGACCGAGACCGAACAATGCAGAAGAGCTGAAGGCCGCTATTGAAGCCTCCTGGTCTTCCCTAACACTTCAGCAGTGCCACAGGGTGATAGCTTTCATGCCACACTGCATTGAGGCAGTAATTGCTGCAAAAGGGGCCCAAACCAAGTACTGAGTACATATGCATGCTTATACTTTTCAGAGGTCCAATGTTGTTCTATGTACAATCCTTGTTTTATTGATTGCATGTAATATTCTAATTTTCTGAGATTGTGGATTTGGGGTTTTCATGAGCTGTAAGCCATAATCATCACAATTATGACAAATCACAGCTTGAACTATCTTGCTTTGCATGTAATGAGTCTATCTCCTATATTAGTTTCACCTTTTTAAGTTGCATTACTGAAATAAATGAACTTTTGCATGATATTCTAATTTTTTGAGTTTCACCTGTATGCAGCTAAGTGAAAACGCAGAACTTTTTTTTTTTTTTTTTTTGGTTTTATTTTTCTGATTTTACTTTCATGATTGACAACGTGTTCACCATGATATAAATGTCTACCTTCTTCATGATCCATGTGATCTTAATAAATATAACTGCATCCACTATAATAGTGAATTATTACTCCGCATGGGATTTGTTATATACCGCTTTTGTGGCAGATCTGCCCTTGTCAGCTGTTAATGTCTATTTATATGTTGTTTGGTTTAGGAATCCACACCCCAATAGTGGTGAGTCGGGAAATGCCTAGCAATGGGTGGATAGACACCGGTCTTTTAGCACTTTTTTTCTTTTTTTGTGTAGGCTACCAGAGCTGCACTGCTGTTCTGACCAGGGAATATGGCAGGTCAGAACTAAAACATAGAGGCCAGTTACACACTATATAGATCGTGGCTGTGTGTAAGGGAATGCAATCACAGCTATGTGTTCTGGGAGGGGGGTGAAGTTGTGTACAGTGCAGGGAGGGAATAAG